ATGAACATAAACCCTAAAAACGTGTTCTACAACTAGAGAGCATCTAGAAGAAGATGAAATGAAGCTTGGAAGGGATGATTTGCTGAGGGATGGATGGCCTCCTTTTATAGCACCATAGGTTGGTTGAAACTCCCCTCCATTTTAGGTGGAAAAGGGTTGAGATTCACCTAACCACCTCTCTTGGACTTGGACTCACGGTTTTGAACATGTGGGAAATGTCCTCCTTGCCCTTCATTAATCAAACGTGCGTTTTGACAAATTGCCCTCCAAAAATGCGCCAGGCGCAATTCTGCAAAAGACAGAATTCCGTTATTTTCTTCCAACTTTGACCGCATTTATCTCATATTTTTCCTAAAGTACCATAGTTTGACTTTTATGTATAAATAATCTATGTATGTTCTACTTTAAGAATATATGATCCTTTTTGGCAAATAATAATGGGAAATGGGTCAAAAACGTGGTCAAACAGGGCTACCGACACATGTTTTTGCAGTAAAAAGTCAACCCTAACACCGGACAATCCTCAAAACGATGCTCTCCTTCACATTAGGGGCATGAAACACTCTGCACGGATGCTCTAGCATCTGAGTGCGATATGCTTTCCATTACAATGTCTGCTAGCTTTGAAATTTTCGAATTCAGATCTGCTACTACATCATTCTCTACTAAGCCCTTAGATGTCATTACTGAAGCAGCCCTGGACTTTGACCATTGGTGCTTATTGCACAAGATTCTCTCCAAAATGTCGAATGCTTCAGCATATACCTTTGACAATAATGATCCATTCGCTGATGCATTTATTACCAACTGCGTGGTCTCATTCAAACCATTATAATATGTTTCTATCTGGATGCAACGTGGTATATCGTGGTGAGGGCATTTCTAGAGCAGTCCTTTAAATTTCTCCCATGACTCCCTCAAGGACTATTCAGGGAGTTGTTGAAAATTATTTATTTTGCTCATGAGTTCAGCATTCTTGGATGGAGGAAAATACTTCATCAAGAACTTCTCGGCTAAGTCATTCCAAGAGGTGATGGATTCAGCTGGTAATGAATCTAGCCACGCTCCAGCACTATCCCTCAGGGAATAAGGAAATAGCATTAGTCGTATAGCTCGTTTGCTTACTCCTTCCAACTTAAATGAATCAGCAACTTGCATAAAATACTGTAGGTGACGATGAGGATCTTCCGATGAAAGCCCATGAAATGGTCCTACGGTCTGGAGCATCTGAAACATTGCGGGCTTCAGCTTAAATCTATCGGCTTCCATAATAGGATCTACAATCACTGGGTTGAAGTCATAGAATTATGGGGCCACATAAGCTCTAATTTCCTGCCCTATATCATTCGCAAGTAGAACAACATTCAGAGGAGGTGTTGGAGCATGTCTTCGAGCTACATCCCCTTGTACTCTCCCTATTCCAAACTCTAGTGGATGTTGTGGGTTATCCATTTTAATTTCTTCTTTACACTCGACTATTTGCTTGGCCCTTCTCTTTCTAAAAGTTCATTCAATTTATGGGTCAAACTCAAATTCCAAAGTAGGAAAATCATTCATTCACTACACAAATCAACAAGAGAGAGATTAAGAAAGCTCTTTAAATCTCGTATTCTAATTTGCTAAAATCAAGTAAGAAAACTTCATCCCTGGCAACGGCGTAAAAAACTTGTTCACTTCCTCACAACTAGGAGAAAATTGGTGCAAGTATACACCAAAACAATCTATTGTAGTATAAAAACAAGGTCTTCTCCACAGGGATTACAGTTTACTTAAAATAGTAAATTAGAATACAAAAAAAACAAAATTAAAAATAAAATATTAAAGTTGTATGGATGCTGTAAAGGAAATCAAGAAAAACAGTAAAGGAGCAAAAACAGAAATATTCTGCGATTATGCTCTAGAGCATCCGAAAACGGAAAACAGATAGAAAATGCAAAAAAAATGCGAAATTAAGATAAATCAAGGGGGAACCACTCTAATACTCTCACTCAAGTCTAGCTATGCTCTAGTAAACTCAAAATATTGAATGCCCAAACTGTCGCGATTCTCTCCCGAGGTACCCAAACATGTTTAACCTCAACTCTTGTAGTAGACTAAACAAGCAATACATATAGTTTATAGGCACGAAAGGGTGAGTCTCATCTTTGAGTACTCACCATTCTACTTCAAAGAGAGAAATCTAACGCAAATAGAGGCAAACACGCAATACAAGGACTTTCCCAAGCCTCAAGTGAGCATAGCATATTAAATTAATAATGTTGGCAAAACAAAATCAGTGAGATAAAAGAATACAAACACCTCTATTAAATCAACATAAATATATATGAGTTAGTAAAACATAAATAAATGAGAGCTACAGTGAATTCATCCCTCCTAAAGGTGGGGTTTAGTTCATGGTAAAATAAAATAAAAGAGTGGGTAGAGAAGAAATGTAGCCCATTGAGTAAGGAAGCTTCAGCAGTAGTGAAGATTCCCCCAGCTCAGTAAAAACGCAAGGTTCGACTTCTTCTTCGTTGGTTTCTCCTCGAAATAGGTGAGGAATGTTCTCTAATTTCGATGCCCAAATTGATTTTATTTTCTAGGGCTCTCTGTGATGGATGGACACTGTTCTTCTATTTGTATCGCATCCTTAAAAATCAAGCCACCACCAGGAAGCTGTACGGACACGGTAAAACTGGTGCAAATCAATTACTGCACAGTCACACGCTCTAGAGCATCCTCAGCAACTCGGTGTTGGGTTTTATGATCTAAACTCGTGGTTTGTAAACATAAAACAAATATTCATTCAATAAAGTTGTTATTGATGGAATTGCATTAACCCAAATCCAATATACTAACATCTGAGGTTATGTCATGTAACTAGAATAGTATATAACAGATATACAGTACATATTTAATATACAGCGTATATATTTCATATACAGTGTATATATATACAGTATATATTTGACATACAGGTGGATAATGTTCCAGTAGCAACCAAAAGGATCTATAGTATATAGATAAGGTTGGGTAACTTATCCTAGTAACACTATGGATACGGCCCACTTTGTACTAGTTACAAATGACTTGATCCAGATTGTTTGTGTGGAGACATGCGAGTGGGGGTATCTTATACAATGAGTTTGTATAAGACCAGACCATGAAATAATTAATCTTTAGCTATAACACCGTCAGCTAATAGATTAATATTTCAATAGGATGACCAGGTAACTCGATCTCAATCTTGAGTGAGTCATCGACTCCTGCCCGTTAGGGCTCGTCCTTTGATTTGTATGGGTGAGAGTCGCTCGAGTTACCAACTCAATATGCCTACCATTTTGGGGACGGGACCAAGTGGGGAGCTGGAAACATAACTACACAAGATGGAATTCATTAATTCCCGACTTCAGGGTAAGTAGATGAGTGTTCTCTTGAGTGCTGACTCCGGAACTTGAACAAGGGTCCCCACCCTCTCACTAGCCCGAGAGGGACTTTCGGTTATTGGTTGGACCATAATTGGGTTGTTCATTAGAGGATCAGCGGTACTTAAGGTACAAGATGTAACACAGGGGTAAAACGGTAATTTGACCTAGCTGTGGTTACGAAAACTCGTGAAGGATTGACTTACAATTAATGGTCAAAATCCATGGATGCAAAATATTCTACAGTGAGAAGAGTGTAACTGTGGGTCTTTAGTGGAGTGACCGGCAGTTAACGAATGTTGATAAATATGGTTAATGAGTTTAATCAATTAATCTCGTATCGTTGGAGCTTCCAATCTGTAGGTCCATTAGGTCCCCTTTCTAGCTCGTAAAACATAGTTAAGAACATTTAATCTTGAAAAGAATTTGAATTGTTCAAATTTGTTAACAAGAATTAAAGTTAATTGTGTGAGATGCAATTAACATAATGTATATTGATACATTATAATATAAGGTTAATTGTATCAGATGCAATTAATATAATGTATATTGATACATTATAATATAAAGTTAATTTTGAATTGGATTCAAAATTATAAGAGAGATGGATATTAGAATTTGATTCTAATATAGTTGATTAATTAAAGTTTAATTTAATTGAATATGATTTAATTAAATTAATGTGATAAATTAGATTTAATTTAATTTAATTAATAATTCTTTTTTTAATTCATTAATGGGATGAAACCTCCCATTTTCCACCATTAATGGTGGAAAGTGGGGAGGTCTTCCCTAGTGGGAACTGGGGAAGTGAGTCGGGAAGTGGTGACTTCCCCTTCACTCCTCCTTCCCTATAAAAGGGAGGCTCTCCCAATTCCTTTACACGGCTCCCAGTCGTCGGTTGTTGAGTTTTTGAAACTCCAACGAGAAATTCTCTCTCTTGATCTCTCGGTTTCCCTTTCAATTATAAGACGGTTCCCACAAACCCAGTTCTTAATATCCAGAGGATAGCGATGAAGACTTTGTGGTGGTGTTGGTGTCTACATTGAAGAGGTGTCTTCGAAGGTATGTATCACTAACTTCCTTCTATTCATGCTTATATGTTTTTTCTTTGTTGTAATTCTAAGACAAGATCGAATCACACATGTTCGCGCGCTTCCGGAGCCTAGGCGCTTCCGGGTGTTTCTATACATTTGATGTATGTGGTTTGCAAATAGATGTTTTTGGTTTTTGGCATTAGATTTACAATTTTTCCGTTGATTCGATCAATGTAAAAGCCTGTTTTTTGGGCGTTAATCCTGTAAATCGAGTTTGTAAGTTCGTGTTGTTCGTGGAAAGGAGTTTCTATGAAAGAATACTAGAGAAGTGAAGAAAAACCAGAGAAACTGGGTGGACAGCGCCGCGATGCTGGGGGCGGTGCCTAGGTACAAGGCAATGGCTCCCAGGTGCTGAATAGTGGTGCCTAGGTGCTGTTAGAGCTGCAAAAATCCGAGAGCTCGGGCCTGTAGCAGTGGGAGCAGCGCCTAGGCGCTGGGTTTTATATAAATTTTTTTTTTGTTTTTGTTTCATTTCTTATAGGAAGCCAAAAACCGGTCTATTTTGCTATTTAATTATTATGCATTTTGAATGTATACTTAATTAGTTGTATATGTTGCATAAAGTATGTCATATAGTTTAAAATCCCACCATAGGTTAAGCATGTTCATGCATCATATGCGTTAGGTTCGTCTTAACTGAGGAGTGTCCTCAGGCTCCTACGCCTAATGCAGCCCGAGCCAGTCGGGATGACTGTGACAAATGGATCCAGGCCAATGACAAGGCCAATGTCTACTTCTTGGCAAGCATATTTGATGTGCATGGTCACCGCAACGGAGATCATGGACTCATTACGGGACATGTTTGGACAGCTATCCATTCAAGCCCGACACGTTGTCGTCAAGTTCATTTACAATTCCGCATAAAAGAGGGAACATCAGTGCGAGAACATGTTCTCAATCTGATGGTCCACTTTAATGTGGCTGAAGTGAACGGCGCTGTCATAGACGAGAGGAGTCAGGTCAGCTTTATCTTGGAATCTCTTCCGAAGAGTTTCCTACAGTTTCGCAGCAATGCTGTGATGAACAAGATAGAGTACAACCTTACCACGCTCTTAAATGAGCTACAAATTTTTCAGTCTCTTATGAAAAAAAGGGACAGGAAGGGAAGGCAAACGTTGTCACCTCAAAACGATTCCATCGAGGTTCGATCTCATGAACCAAATCTGCAATTTCTTCTTCTTGAAGTAAGACTTTCAAGAAGAAGAAGAATAATGGTAAGTGGGTGAAAGCTAACGCTACTGCTACTGCTGCTACCAAAAAGGGCAAGGCCAAAGTTGCAGACAAAGGAAAATATTTTCACTGCAACGTGGATGGGCACTGGAAAAGAAACTGCCCGAAATACTTTGACGAAAAGAAGAAAGTCAAAAAAGGTAAATATGATTTACTTATTCTTGAAACATGTTTAGTGGAAAATAATGATTCTGCCTGGATACTAGATTCAGGAGCCACTAACCATATTTGTTCTTCTTTTCAGGGAATTAGTTCCTAGAGACAGCTTGGCACTAGGGAGATGACTCTCAAAGTCAGAACAGGAGATGTCGTCTCAGCAGTCGTAGTGGGAGACCTAAAGTTGTTTTTAGACAAGAATACATATATATTATTAGATAATGTGTATGTAGTTCCTAAAATAAGGAGGAACTTAATTTCAATTTTTTGTCTACTGGAACAATGTTATGCTATTTCTTTTTCATTAAATGAAGTGTTCATTTCACGAAATTGTGTTAACATTTGTTGTGAAAAACTTGAAAACAAATTATATGTGTTAAGA